CTACAGACTTTCCAAAAGTGTCTTGCAGAAGGAGTAATAATCTTGCCCGAGGTTAACTCGTAATTTCTCTCTTTCAGGTTCATGTTGGGGAGAGGTCTAAAACGCAAGCTGAGTGACTATGAGGAGAACATGGCTGGTCTCTCGAGTGCCTTTGATTCCAGTCGAAATCTGCCCTACCCACTTAAGAGGCAGTTGGTGCTTAATATGTGCCTCACCAAGTTACAGACATACAAAATGCTGGTGGAACCAAACTTGCACCGCTCTGTCCTCATAGCCAACACAGTGCGGCAAATTCAAGAGGAAATGAGACAAGAGAGTAATCAGCAGCCAATTAATGTCTGCCCTGGCATTGCTCCTGCTTCCCACAGCTACACAGGGATGGAGTCATCTGGGATTTCTCTTCAGTTGCCTTCAGGTATTAGTCAGCAAGAGTCCAACTGTTGCGACTTGCGGTCTGTAGAAGACCCAATTGAAAATAGCCTGCTGATAGTTTCAGATGATGATATGTCATCTGCTATTTCATCTATTCTGAAGGATTTAGACTTTGTAGAAGATATAAGCCCGCCTACTTGTCTGGTTCCTACTGGAGATGACCAGCCAAAGTTTCCAGAAAATACTGGTCTAAAACTAGAAGATGATAGACAGGATTTGAAGGGAGCTGAATGTGTGTTTGGTTCCTTTGAGATTTCAAATTCAACTAGTTACTTGAAGGATTTGGCAATAGATGACATATTTGAAGATATTGACACTTCAATGTATGATTCAGACTTCTGTTGCCCTCCGTTAATGCCACCCAGATCACCATCTCTTGCTACAGAAGAACCATTGAAAGCCTTTCCATCTTGTAATTCTTCTTCAGCGAGCAACATTCAGATATGTAGAACAGATCTGAGTGAGTTGGACCACATCATGGAAATTCTGGTTGGATCTTGATACGTGTTTCACCCAAAGATACTTTTTAACTGCCACTTTCATTTGGTTTCAGGATAAAAGCCACTGGAAAAGTTGTAAAGAATTCTTTAAAACACAAACTAAAAATAATTTGTCCGTAGTGGGATTTTCTAAATAATTCCAAAAAGTATAAACCAAAAAAGTGGCAGATTTATTTTTTTTTTTTTTTAAAGAGATATTTATTTATCAGAACTGTGCAATCATGTTTTTCCTTCCAGGGTGTGTGTGGAACAGTAGGCACATACCCTTATCACCCCTCATGCCTCTTTCAATAAACTTTTTTATGTGCAATTTTTAATTTGTCAGAAGAATTTACATGCAAAACAAATTTCATATGAGATGATCTTTTACAAAGTCTCCACTTTATTTTTAATATCAGAGTCTACGCCGGGTTGGCATACGTCAGGTTGCGTAGGTGGATTGCGTGGATTGCAGACACATTACTAGAGATGGGTATATTTTAAAAATGAGACACGCTTTTGGTCAGAAAAGCAGATCAACACACTTGTCAACAAAAGTCTCTTGCATTTTCTAAAGCATTCAGAACTATTTATTTTTGTAAATTTTATAGGCTTTCTACATTTTACTACGTTATTTCATCATGGTTCAAATGTAACGGACTTCTAGTTGGATGTGTTTAGCACTACCTCTGAGCTGAAATGCTTTAACTCTTTCCAGTGCTTCGTCTAAGACTGCAGATCTCTGTTTCTATTTTTTTTTTTTTTTCTGGGGGGAAAGTACTTCTAACTCATTAAGCTGATCCTTTGACAGTGACCTAGCTGATTTGTGAAATCAAGGGTATTCAATGTTTAAAAACTTTTTAAGTATTTACAAATGTAATTTATATGTAGATTGTGCAATTTAACATTTTTCTGTCAGTATTATGTGCTTAGATTTTGAATAATCTTGGCGTTCTTTAAAGTAAAACTTACTATGTACAGGTAGCTTTTTAATCTGTTTTGGAAAACACTGTCCTTCAACCCTGCTTTCACTACAAAGTTTAAGATTATTTTTATGTGCAATATTATTTAAAAAGATACACATTTGTATACCTGGCATTGTAGAAAGAAATGCTTCAAACTTAAAACTTTTAGCACCTTGGGAGGATACTCAAGAGAGTCAACATTTCTGTATTCTTTAAGAAACAAAGTTGAGAACGCTTCTTCCTACATCAGTGCTTACTGCTTTGAAAGCTCCCGAGATGCTGGTTGGTGTGTGGTGAGTCAGTGCTGATGACCAAGGGCCACCCTGCAGCTGTGTCCCTGCGCTGGGATGTGGTGCCAGGGCTGGGGCCTGGAGAGCATCCCCATGGCTGGTGCTGCGGGTTGTGCTGGGGAGGGAGGGAGGGAGGGAGGGTGCATCTCTGTGGCAGGTGTGTACATAAGTACATCTAAGCACACTTGGTAACTGAAGGTGAGATTTGCAGTGAGAACTATTCTTTGATAAGACAGTTTGGATACTTGTTTCAGCTTGAACTGAGATCTGTACTGATCCTTGCTCTCACCTTCTGAACTACACACTTGCAGCACATTAGTTTTTTGGGGGTTTTTAATTTTTTAATTATAAAAATTTTACCTTGTTCTTGAAAGCTGCAGCACCTGTCTTGTAAGAAAATTTGCAGTTGTAAAAGCTTTGCTTTGGTTTGTTGTTTTTTGGGGTTTTTTGTTGTTGTTCTGCTGAGACTTTTCATGAATGGGGCATCGGCAGAGGGGGGAAAAAAACAAATGTTGCCTGTGTGTTGCATCTCTCAGAAGTTGAAATCCTGGCCCTCTCGAAGGGGCCAGGGTGTCACCTACTGTTTCTAGTCTTAACTGATGCTGCAGCACACCTACCTTGTGCACAGATCTCCATTTTTTTTACTGTGACTGTTGTGGGTAACAGTTACCTGCCGATACAGCTTGGTATCCCAAACCAATGGAGAACCAGTTCAGGTCACGTCCTCGCAGCCATCTGGGTTGTTTAGCAACCGAAGGGTATAAATGTATTTATATGCATATAATGTATTGATTCTAATATAAAACTTCTGATCTAAAGTATTTTGAATTGCTGGATAAAGGGATTTGTTTGAAGAGTGTATAAATAGTTCTTGAAGAGGTACAGCTTCAGAATGTACACAGATTGTGCATTGTGTATAGACTACTCTGGCTTTTCCTCAGCCTCTACTTTTGTATTAAAGATATGACTGAATAAATCCTTGAAATACTAAGGGCCTTCTGCACTGTGATGAAGCAGAGTTGTGGTTAAAAATGTCTTTAAATTCAGTGATGGGGAATAAAATAAAAAGACTGCATCTAATTTCTTTTTGCATTTGAAAACATGGAATGTTACTATGCAGTAAAGATATTTTGGTATAAAAATTGTATCATATAGCAAATAGTGAACACTTAATAAATCCACTTACTCACCTTGAAGCCCCGACAGAAACATAAAAGAAGACAATTTGCTTTTTATCATTTACATGCTGAAGTGTTTTGTATACTTCAGAAACAGATGAAATTGTTGGTAGATGTTTTATCACCACTTCCAAATGCAGTTTTTGTTCAAGTGCTTGCTACAAAGCTCTGTTTCTAATTGTTTGCTTGCATCACAGTGCCAAGACCGTGAGCTGGTGTGTAATGCAGTTCGGTTATGTATGGAATTACGTGCAAAGGGAAGTTTAATTTTTAAATATGCACAAACTAATTTTAAAATCCTTCCATGTAAAACGAAGTTAGAGGCTAGTTGTGGTGGACCTATTTATTGTATGTTTGGAAATAAAAGCCACAGTTTTGCAGTTTAACCATTTATATTTTGAAGCCTTCAGTATTTGACTGTTTTTAAAAACAAAAAAAACACCCTCGGTACCTTGTCACGCTTCGTTTGGTCTTTTACTCACAAAGATACAATGTTTTCCAGAGGTGATTGTGTTTATTATGTCTTCTTTTTTTCTTCCTTTCTCCCCAGAAATATTAAATACCATACATGGCTTTGCCTCCCCTTTGTTCCCACAAAACAAGGGATGGCCCACGGAGCATTTTGTTTTTGCAGCCAGTGGGGAGGGGGGATTCCTGTTGTGAGCAGGTGACGTATGTTTGTTGGCACTTCCCTGTCCCCTGGTTTTTGTCTCGGCTGCCTGACGTGGTCTTCCAGCCCGTGCAGTTCTCGGTGTTGCTTCAGGGGTTGCCATGCTTGAAAGCAAGTGTCAGGTACAAGTTTCCTGGATGCACACGCTGTTGACACGTCAGACTTGTCAGTCTGAGACAAAAATACTGCCACTCAGTGCTGGTGGAGGGTTGTTTGCTAGTCTGTGCTAATACCAGTTACACCAGAGACTTCAGGTTTGAAGGTTTCCATCCTCTTCCTGTTGGTGGACTTCCAAAATGACATCCTGACTCTTCTGCAGTGAACTGCATTTTATTGTTGAGACTGTGCTGGCTGCTGCTTATAGATGAGGTGTCCTTCCTGTGTTTTGTCCTGGGGCCTGCTGACCTGCAGTGTGAAAGGCGGAGAAGTAACTTCACAGAAACCTGGCTCTGGCTGTGAGGTGGTTACTGTTGGGACATGACTGTGCCTTACTGGAGCAGGACACTACAGACTTGCTCTTGTACTGGTGGGGCTTGAAGTTTGGCAATAGAAAATGCTGCCTTATGAAGCAGTAAACTGCAGTTTAGTCTTTTCAGAAAATACTTTAAAAATATTGCTTTCAGCTCTTTCTAAAGGTGGTGTAGGGTTTAATGTATTTTAGCCACGCGGAGGGATCTGAACCTTGAAGCATGCTGAGCAGCCCAGCTCAGCACGATGCAGGCTTAAACTGGAGCTAGCTGAGGAGCTGCAGGTCCTGCCCAGGGTGCTCTGTCTGGCTCAGTGTTCTCTATACTGGAAGTGAGACCTGAAAATTTCCAGCTCAAGCAAGAGTAAAATACACAAAAGAAAATAACCTATCCGTTAGTTCTGTGAGGAAGATGAGTTATAATTAGTTGCAAAACTAATTTTGAGCTATTAAAAAGCAGTATTAGAAATGAAGAGTTAAGCTATTAAATGCAGAAGTGTGTCTATAAAAGTGTGTATTGTTAAAGCAGACGTTCAGGGAAGCTGGGAGATTTTTGGAGTTTAAGTATTTGCCTGGCATTGACAGGCATCTTACCTTGATTGAAAAAGAAAAAAAGAAGAAGTTGCAACTTCATTCCATGCTTTTTCCCCCTCATCAGCCCCCGTTTATCCCGGCAGAGCGCTAAGCTGGAGCGGCTGTGCTTTGGCACCCAGGCTGCGCTGTGGGATGGCAATTCCTGAGGTTCTCATCCATATTTCAGTAGAATAAATGCAGAACTTCTGTTCGATGTGACTGAAGGGAGCCTGTTGCATCTGCTGGCTGGGCTGTTTGGCTTTGTTTCCTTTGAATCCTCCAGAGTGGGGCTGGCAACTCAGATCAGCAGTGAAGTTTGGGGTTTAACAATTAACTTGGATGCAGCTCACTTTTAGCCAAACTCCCTCTGCCATCTTCGCTGGAGTAGGAGTGTTCCAGGAAGTCCTCCCGTTAAAAAATGGGCAAATTTAAAATGGACTGTTAAAACTGATCTTCACTATTAAAAACATCAGAGTGCTTTTAAATTCGGTAATGACCCTGCACCTTGGAAAAAAAAAAATAAGCTTTCACAAGATTTTGTTTGTTTATTTGTTTGTTTTTTGCTACAAGTCTTCTGCATAGGTCCAACCAATGGTGGGCTTATGGTTTACTGGGAAATCATCCGAGGCTCTGGAATGCCTTTTTTTTAAAAAAATTTATTTGGACTTTTTAAAAAAATAAGTCTTCAAGTACTAGGGACGTGCTGTTGCTAAAAGAAAACTTCACGGAACTTTGCCTTCCTACTGTTTTCCATTTTAAAGTCATTTGAATTAAGTTCCCTAAAATTGTACTTACGTTGTAGCTTCGAGCAGAATGTGCATTGAAATGTGTTCAGTCTTTCACAATGTAATTACTCTCTTTTTTTGCAAAAGTATTTACAGTGTTCCTTCTGCATAGGAAACACTTCAGTAATTACATTCCTGACTTGAACTTTTAAAAACTTTGTTCTGTGGGTATATTTTCCCTCTAATCTCAGTGGAAGAAAAAGGCATTTCTGTCTAGTTCTGCTGTCTAAAACTCCTACTTTGCTTTAATTTTCACCTTTTCAAAATCCTAAGCAAATATCAGAAGTCTGTGGTTATTTGCTTTCTGCAAACACAGAGCACAGTAGCATCTTTACTTCATCAAAACTCAGTATTTCACAGAGGAGAGCTCACGACTAAGTTTAGAAATGATGAAATTCATCGCTTGAAATGTCCTAAGTTTTATTTCCTCCGTGCAGCATTTTCACAGAGCAAACACCTGCTGCTTCTCGGGGCGGCCGGAGGGTGGGTGCGCAGCGGCTCTCGGCGCGCCTGGTGGGTGCTGGCGAGGGCAGAAACGAGGAAATGACTGAAGGAAATGAACTGCCAGTATTTGAGCAAAACACACCAGAGGGGTTTCCAGCACCCCTCGTTTCCCAGGATAACGACAGAAGGCAAAGCTGCTTTGTACCGTGCAATACACCCAAAAATGGTCTGCCAAAATTGGGTTTGTCTCCCTGAGCACCCCCCTCGTCAGTTCAGAGAAACGGGGTGCAATTTTCTCTTTGTGAGTATCCCCAAATATGCAGATTGTGTCCAAATTCTGCTGAGGGCTGCCAGGACTCCGCAAGCTTGAAGCTGAATCAAATTACTTTGTAATTTCAAATCTGCTCTTCTTTCTCTTTGAAGAGATGAACGTGCTCATCTCAGACCTGAAGGCAGGAGTCAGAAGGTCTCTCTGCTGTCTTGTGCAGTCCCTGTTCATGGGCAGAAAGGGTTCAGGTGCCCCAAAGCATCTGTACAAGAAAAAAAAAAACAAAACTGAAATGTGGAGTCCATCACCTTTGGAATCCCACTAGTTTTTTCTCCACTGAATCATAAAGGGCTGAAAAGTCTGTTTTGTTTTGTTTTTTTCTCCCCAATCTGTACCTTGGACAGGGCTGTAAAACCTGCTACCATGAGAGAAAGATGATGTATTCACCCTGCTGGGGTAACTGCAAAACATTCTTCAACACATTCATCCGGTGTTAGCGAAAGCAAAGGCAAAGTTGAAAACAACTTGAAAGGCCAAAATCCTGGGTTCTGGTGCATCAGCCGGTGCTATACATGCTACACATTGTCCTCTCAAGCCCCTCTGCAGGGCCCTGCCTGTCTGAAAGCATTAAAATGGGATTTTGTTCTTATAATTTATTTCAATAATGTTTATTACCAACCTCAACTATGCCTTCATCATTTATTGGCAAGTTACTATTTTGTGAGTTTATGCCTACAACCTATTTGATACCCGTGTGACTGTTCTGAAAGACTTACAAGGGAAACTGAAAATGGATTCAAATCCAGCGTTAAGTGAAAAAGTTAATCCTGCTCTGGTATCAGAATGGCAACAGCACTTTCCCAAATGCCTGTTACCATTTCCTGAGCAACCAATACACAGTTCATCCCGTGCTAAGAGCACTGAGGTATCATAAATGTGTTATGAATTATTACAACAGTTGTAATTTCACCGCTGAACAGTTTACTCGATTAAGGGTTGGAGTCTGCCAGTGCTTTACAGTCTGCTTAATTCTAAGAACAGAATAGGGACATCATTAAATAATTAACTGACTGAGTTTGGGAATATCCAAGTTTGTTCCCTGCTTTTAACACATCAGTTGAAGTGCTTAGCAACTCGAAATAAAAAAGACATATAAAATTGTTACATTCAGAATGGCCAAGGCAGTAAATGGATTAGTAACTTGGGTAAAAATTATTACCAATGAATAAATAAAGCTGTTGCAGTTGGCAAGGAAGCACCATGGATTACACAAACGATAGTGAAGTGCAACCCTTCTGGCACTGAAGCAGGCAGGGAGATGGGCAGTGTAGTTGATAGTTACGATGAAGTTTTAAAAGGGCAGGAATTTTCAGCATTGTGCAGTGCAGGTGCTGAACTACACTGCGGTTAAACTTAAACGAGCGTGGTAATGCCTGGTGTAATGTTTGGTGGCTGAATGAATCCAAGAAGTCCTGTTACAAACCAGCTTCAGAGAGGTGATTTATTTCAGCTGGAAACCAATGCCAGAACAAGATGTTTCACTGACTCCACCCATATCACCACTGTAGGCTTTATCAGACAGAAGTTAAAACAGCTTTGTTTTCCTAAACCTCAGTGCAAGCCACCAGATGTAGAAGGCTCCCCTTGTTACGTTCAGCAGTGGCAAAGTAACAGATCTCAGCTGATTCAAGCTGGACCAGATAAGGAGAGATGGTGACAAGGCACACTTTGCAACACACCTGAGGCACGTTGAGATTTTGGCAGGGAAACAAGGTTTTTGATGGAAGAGGCATTAAGGCATGAAAGGTCAGTAGCTCAGGAAAATAGTCCACCAGAGAATCTTTAAAGTGTGATTGTGGCTGCATTTACTGTAAGAGACAGGACTCTGCAGGAAAACTTAGCAGGACAAAATTACACCTTTGACTTTACAACTAAATAGGATAAATACCTTCTAATACTGTGGCTTTAGGTACTTCCTATACAGTAATATGTCACTTTCCTAAAGAGCGTACGTAGTCTATAGTAGCTGGCCAGTAACAAAATGAAGGTAAACTGCATTCTGTTCAAAAGGGGAAAAACAAACAAATAAACAAAAAACCCCAAACAAACAACTATTCTAAAGTGTGTTTGGTTCAACAAACAATTGCTACTGAAAAAATTCACTTTTAGGTTGTGTGTAGTGAAAATGTGTTTCTTCCTTGGGGTTGTTATATATTGCATGTCTCCATTTGATTATGTAGTTTTCAAAGAGAGGTTACAGGTGAAAAGATGACCATGTCTGGAACCCAGTGATACAGAAAGCTGAGTGAAAAAGAAAAACTAAGTTAATTTTTTCCATCCTACAGTAAGTTAATAACTTTGTGTTTGACCCACAGTGGGACCATGTGTCCTGCACTCACTCCCCCCACCTGGTGAGATGGGATGGGAGACACAACAAAGGGGGCATGGGATTAGGATGAAGAACAGGGATGGCTTATTCACCAGTTATGGTCACAGGCAAAACAGACTCAATTTGTGGAAGAAAAATCAATTTAATTCATTGCCATTCATCTGAATAATGCAATGAGACATAACAGCCACATCTTACAACACCATCTCCCACCCCTCCCTTCTTCCTGGGCTCAAATCACTTTGCTCCCAATGTCTCCATCTTCCCTCCCAGCAGCACAGGGGACAGGAATGGGGTTACAGTCAGTTCACCTCTGCTGCTCTTCCTGGCATGGAAGTCCAGGAACAAGATGTTCCAAATCAAGCTTCCCATGGAATCACGGAGCTCTTGGGGCTCAGCTCCCGGATCTGGCATGGGGACATCCATGGGCTGCAGACTCACCCCCCACTCTTGGGGTCCACCCCCGCTCTGGCAGCGAGTGACTCTCGCGGTCACAATTCCAGTCATACTTGCCCTCAGATTCAGCTTCTCTGCTCCAGCCTGGAGTCCTCCATGGCCTACACCTGGGTCTCTGCTTCGCTGTTGAATCTCCATGGGCTGCTGA